AGTAGAGGCCAGCCTTCAAATGTTCCCAGCAGAGGCCAGCCTTCAAATGTTCCCAGTAGAGGCCAGCCTTCAAATGTTCCCAGCAGAGGCCAGCCTTCAAATGAACAAAGTAGAGGCCAGCCTTCAAATTCACAAAGTAGAGGCCAGCCTTCAAATGAACAAAGTAGAGGCCAGTCTTCAAATGTTCCCAGTAGAGGCCAGCCTTCAAATGAACAAAGTAGAGGCCAGCCTTCAAATGTACAAAGTAGAGGCCAGCCTTCAAATGTACACAGTAGATGCCAACTGTGAAGCGAATTACAACAACATGCAACACAATAAGGTCACAATAATGTTACAAAAATATGTCAAGATGAAGGCGAGTACCGATAAGATAATTTGATTACAAAACAAACTTAATTTAGAACATTAATGATTCACTAAATAAACGGAGGAATGTCCACAAACATCCAATAAGTATAATGTTTGACATCAAGTGACCATTGCTATTTCTTTTGTGATGTTCCAGATAGGAACTATGTGATAGATATTAATTAGTTCTCTATCATCATTGTGCAAAACAAAGTGTCAGAACTTCACACCAATCCATAATATTTGTGTAAACTGGAAATAATTTTCCCAACATTTTCGAAAAATAAGTTAAAAATTTAACAAATCCTGTTTTAACAACAATATTGTGTTCTTTTGGAATTTAATTTTCCTGACTGAATTTTCCCACAATGACAGCAGGTAAATAATGCTATCATACAGTATCATCTCATGAATGAAGACCCTCTAAGACATTTTCTTTTTTAAAGATACTTACAATCAGCGATTAATCAATTTCATTGATCAAGACAAATTCAAGCTGTTTATATATTACCTTCTCAGACTATGGACCATCAACATAGCCTCTACAATGGCCAGTGTCCCAATGCCCTCTGAAGAGTACAGGGTGGCATATGCTCTACATATAAATACCACCTTGTAACTGAACTGCTATACTCATACAACCAAAACACACATGATTAATGCCTCATCTGTCACAGTTTCAATATATATACTATACTTAAAGAAATCCAAGACCCTGTGAAAATTCATGAACACAGGTTGTTTTTGACAGCAGAAAATATGCTGTACAGTCTAAGGTAGACAGTATAGTTATAAAAAGTATCGTTAAATTGTTGCGGGAGGCTGATAGTAACCCAGTACATTGTAGGGACCAATGTGTTATCGGTACGGTAGTTTAAGTTGATGGACACTGAAAGTCCAAAAATTGATATGACAACAAATCGGAGATTTGATCAATACTTAAAACAATTGAAGCCGCCTTTAAATTGTAAGGGTTATGTTCTCAAATCTCATATCTGGAATATGGATTGATACAAATTTGGTACAAATTTTGAAACAACATTCATATACAGGAGGCTGGCAATGCCTGCAATGAGGGCCATATCAACGTAAACTGATGGGATAATTTTTAACTGAAGCCTCATCACCAGTTGTCATACCTACACAAAATATAAACTTTGAATAACAACCACAAGCCCAAAATGGTTGACCATGTTGCACTTTCAAAAGCATATTGATTTGCAGCTGAATTCAAATTTCAACTGAAAACATTGACTTCAAAGCACTACAGATGATGTTTGGTTGTTCAGTGTTACAGCGGCCTGTACTTAACACATCCTTGCAATTTGACAACTCTTGTCTCATCGATATGGAAAAATCTGTATTTCACAAACCAGGACATTTTCTCCTGTTGACATGTTACATACAAAGGTCAACTGACAAGGTCAATCAAGTCCTACTCGAATCTAAACATTTACGTGTAGCACTAACAGTGACTATACATTCCAATGTTTTCATTAAGTGTAGAGTTGGACACATGAATTTTGTAAAGTAGTTCTCTGTAAAAATCTCAAACATAAAATTTGGCCAAATTTACTAATACATGTACATGTATTATGCCATGTATAAAAACATTTATAAAAACACCCTGTTGGCAGCTATTTTTTTTTAATATATATGTCTTATAATGGAAGATTGATAACCCTAACCACCAGGGGAAATCTAACTTTCTTAACATACATAAATGTTTCCTAACAATATTATAATTTTTCTGACATTTTCCACCACCAATACCATTTAATACCCTAGATAAGTTAAATGAATGTTAATAAAACACTTAAGAAATATACCATTGTTGTGTACATTATATATGAAACAAAAATGAGCATGATTGCATTATAACATACAACAAAAAAGCTTAACAACAACATATAATACTGGAAGCCTTAATGAATGATTAATATTGACAAGATTGACAAGACACTGGTATGTGCAATTTGTTAAAAACAACAAAAGCATTAAAAAAAGTAAACAGCAAAACAATGTACTATCAATGTGTCGATGATTACAAAAATAATTTGAAACCCTTGATTATAACACTGTACGATTTCTACAGCCTGTGACCTATATAACTGTACGATTTCTATAACCTGTGACGTATATAACTGTACGATTTCTACAGCCTGTGACGTATATAACTGTACGATTTCATAACTGTACGATTTCTACAGCCTGTGGCCTATATAACCGTATGATTTCTACAGCCTGTGACGTATATAACTGTACGATTTCTGCAGCCTGTGACGTATATAACTGTTCAACTTTTTCAGCCTGTGACATATATAACAATACAATTTCTACAGCCTGTGACGTATATAACAATATAATTTCTACAGTCTGTGACCTATATAATGGCACAATTTCTTCAGCCTGTGGCCTTTATAACTACAATTTCTACAGCAAGTGCCTATATAACTGTATGGTTTCTATAGCCTGTGACGTATCTAACTGTCCGATTTCTACAGCCTGTGACCTATATAACTGTACGATTTCTACAGCATGTGACCTATATAACTATGATTTCTACAGCCTGTGATGTTTATAACTGTAAGTTTATTACAGCCTGTGACAAATGTAACAGTAAAAACTCTGTCACAGACTTTAATATATATATACAACAGTTAAATTCCTACTTGTACTCAGACTGTGTCTTGTTAACAGTTCGATTCCTACACAGCCTTTGACCCATATAACAGTACAACTGCTACACAGTGTGACATACCAGTGATTGTCGGGCTTAAGCAATGATCAACATGTATCAACAACATTAGTAACAAATTCAATGAATGCTATTTGTATAACAGTTAAAAACACTTCAGAAAATGTCTGAGTGACAAATTGTAGCTGATGGATCTATTGAGCTGTGTATATCAAACCTGGGACAAAAAGCCAGCTTTTCACTTGGTTTTTAAATGTCAATGATGCAAAATTCTACGATTAGAATATTACAGAAACATGGTCTGTTCTTGTATCTACTCAGTAAATTATGATGTTACCATATGTTGGTAGCTTGATGCTGTTGGACAGGTCGGACACATTTAACATTACGAGAAACAAAACACACATCTTATGCTATCGTAGACGAAAAAATACAAATACGATTCGGTAAAATAACATGTAACTTTTTGATTTCCAGATTCTTATTGATTTGCACACATATTTTTTGACAAACTTTCCTGTTCCATTACGAAAAGCTTCATTCACATATGAAAATTCCTCTTGATTATTAACTTGAGCACAGTTTAAATAGAGTAAAACATTTGTTTTGTTCAAAGCAAATACAGATTAGAAAGCAATATCATCATGTAGTCTTACTGATAGAAGATAGTGACAGTAATCATTTGTTCGTTTGTTAAGTTTTGATGGATTTTATCAGTAAGGCTTAAAACTTCAAACATCCTCTTTTCATATGAATAACATGTTATCCCGGACACATTACCAGTCTATAGTGTAATGTAAACACATGAGCATATTTTTGTTCACTGAGTACCCTTACTACGTTAGTATTGACGCATCTTGACCTCTAGATTTTTTTTTAGTCACATTTCAAGGTTGTTACATGACCTTGACACTACTAGACAAAATATGACACATTTTTGTTGGTAGAGTATATGAATCCCTCAGCAGTTTGTGTAGGCATTGCTGATTGGACGAAGAAGGTGGAGCTCACTCTCCTGTGATATGATTGGCAGATTGTGAGTGCGATGGTGCTGGATGAGGTGGGGCACACTGTCGAAGGCGCGGTCCTTGGTCCTTACCTAGAAACACAATAGTATACGTTATATTCTGTCATACAAAAAAAAGGCCCAATGGGCCTGCATTGCTCACCTGGTATTAATCTGATAATTGTAACCTTAAAAGTAGACTAAAATAAGGCTACAGGAAAAATATCAGTGTCTTGACTCAAAGTCATTAAAAAACACCTGTTCTAAGATTTAAACACATTTGACCCCTGTAACCTTGGAAGTCAAACAAGGACATTCAGTTGAACAAACTTTATAGCCCTTCATCCCAGAATGGAACGTGCTAAATATCACTTCCCTATACCTATTATTTATTGAGAAGATGACTTTTAAAGATTTATACACAAATGACCAGATGTGCGCTTGAAAGAGTGTCAAGGTTATTCACATGAACAATCTTGGAAGCTTTTCATCTGAACATGCTACTGGTCACATATTATCATGCATTTTGGTTTTTCAGAAAAAGTAATTCAAAGTATTTTTTACATATTTGACCCCTGTGACCTTGATTATTATTCAAGGCCATTATTTTGAACAAACTTTTTAAACATGCTACTGGCTAAATGTCATCATCCCAGCCATCTTTTTGTTTAAGAGAGATTGTTAAAGTTTTTGACATACATTATGTATTTGATCCTTGTGACCTTAATAATAATAACAATAATTGGAGGTTCTTATATACCGCTTTATCACAACCTAGTTCGTAGGTCGTCTCAAAGCGATTCACAAATTATTATCCGTGGTTATAGGGCCTTTGCAACTAGCCAGTACATTTCTCAACTCCCTGTGTAGCATACAGTCAGAGCTGCCATTTCGGCGCTAACAGCTAGCATTCAACAATTCTAGCACTGCCCAACCACGTACTCATTTACAGCTGAGTAGACTGGAACAAGCAGAGTAAAGTATCTTGCTCAAGGATACAACACATTGCCGTGCCGTTTCGCGAACCTGCAACCCTTCGGTCATGAGCCCGGCATCCTACCACTAGACTACCGTGCCTTGAATGTGGATGAAGATCATTCATTTGAACAAACTTGGTAATCCTTCATGCCTGCATGCCACTAGCAAAACATCATCACCTTTGACATTTTGGTTATTCATCAGAAGTTGTTTCAAGGTTTTTTAAGACAACTGACCCCTGTGACCTTGAATATATGTGAGGGTCATCAAATTTAACAAACTTGGTAACCCTTCATCCAAGCATCCAAATATCACCATCCTGTGCCTTCTGGTTATTTAGAAGAAATTGTTTAAAGTTTCCAACATATTTGACCCCCTGTGACCTTGAATATAAGTCAAGGTCATTCATTTGAACAAACCTCGAAGCGTTTTATCCCAGCATGATACTGGCCAAATATCATCACTCTAGGCTCTCTGGTTATTCAGAAGAAGTTGTTTTAAAATTTTGAACATATTTGACCCCTGTGACCTTGAATATTAGTCAAGGTCATTCAATTGAACAAACTTGGTAGCCCTTCATCCCAGCATGCTACTGGCCAAATAACATCACCCTAGGCCTCTTGGTAGTTGACGCTGGATGGATGCCACACCACAGCATAAGCTCACTTGGCCCTTTGGCCCAGGTGAGCTAAAAATGATAATGTATTTGACCTCAGGGGGTACTGATCTTAATCCATGCCCTTAAACTTGATTGATTTTACAATAATTGCAAAAAAAGTTCTATCAACTTATATTAATCACTAGTTTTGCCCAGATGGTAGTGTTCAGGAGATCTTAATCTAGTGATGTATGTATTGTAGACACAGTAGATATATTTAACATATAGGTAGACTAATAATGTTAAAGGGAGGACGTACCCTGTGGCCATTTTTTCCCAATTCAAAGTATTTTATTGATAATCCATTAAAATTACCAAACCCTCGGTAATACAGATAAAAAGATAATAAGAAAAGTAAATCAATACATGTATTATCATAAATGTGTTAGAGTACTGACATGTCTGTGTAAGTCAAACTGACCAGCAATATTGACCAGGTTTACACTCACAACACCATCAGGATCAAACTGACCAGTAATATTGACCAGGTTTACACTCACCACACCATCAGGGTCAAACTGACAAAAAATATTGACCAGGTTTACCCTCACCACACCATCAGAGTCAGACTGACCAGCAATATTGACCAGGTTTACACTCAACACACCATCAGGGTCAAACTGACCAGTAATATTGACCAGGGTTACACTCACCACAACATAAGGGTCAAACTGACCAGTAATATTGACCAGGGTTACACTCACCACAACATAAGGGTCAAACTGACCAGTAATATTGACCAGGTTTACACTCACCACACCATCAGGGTCAAACTGACCAGCAATATTGACCAGATTTACACTCACCACACCATCAGGGTCAGACTGACCAGTAATATTGACCAGGTTTAACCTCACCACACCATCAGGGTCAAACTGACCAGCAATATTGACCAGGTTTAACCTCACCACACCATCAGGGTCAGACTGACCAGGAATATTGACCAGGTTTACACTCACCACACCATCAGGGTCAAACTGACCAGTAATATTGACCAGGTTTACACTCACCACAACATAAGGGTCAAACTGACCAGTAATATTGACCAGGTTTACACTCACCACACCATCAGGGTCCACCAGTAACAAATGTTTGATGGAGCCGTCCTGTTTACCACACAGTACAAACTGGCCGGGGTCAGAGGAGCTCTGCCGCACCAGAAAGTCACCATCCTTTTGTAACAATTTCTCAGCCTGAAATATCCAACAGGAAGACGGTTTAGTATTGGTCTCTAGACTAGCCACTCTAGTTAACATGGTTATTGCTTAGAGTTTTCTCACAGGTATACAAAGAAACAGTGCTTACAATCTCAACACTGTCAATTCATTTTCTCTTTTTATTACACCCATGTGAAATTTCATAATCAATGGTTTCAACAATTGTTCATCGTTTTGGACGTTTTTCAATTGAGTAATTAATAATTACCCAAACTTGCTGACAATACACTTAATAAAGAAATATGATTTCTCAAATACTGTATTATATGAACTTATTATTGGTATAGTACTTTCTTTCAGTATGGTTTTCCGTTACAAACATATATATTTGTTCATATAACTTTTTACTGCCAGTTGACATAACTAGGGTCAGATAAGGCCACATAGTCACTACACTAACATTCCAGTCCCACTGTCACCATATAAACAGTAAGTGTAGATACACAACAAAAATTAAAACATGTCATACAGTATTTTGTGGACAAATATGCAAAGAATTCAAATTTTACTTAAAATGTTAAAATGAAATCCATTTCCAATATGTTATACAACATGAAATGTGTGGCAGATATTTCGATAGATAAGAAAAATGGATTCAACTAGAAAGTGAAGTAGGTGTTTAACCGACCTGTTTCCGTGGCAGTGCACCATGATACCATTCCTCAAACACAGGGGCAATATCAGAGGTAGAGGGAGGAGGCACACCTGGGGGAGAAACTAGCTCATCAGGGTGTCTAAGGAAGGTCTCCTGGTCTCCGGAGGGAAGGCCTGCACTGAATGGCTCTGTACACAACATTTGTCATTTAGTACAAAGTAGGCTTGGTATGACATATTCAAACCTTGTACTGGCACACAAACTAGAGGATCACTGCAGAGGAATACTCAGGTAAAATTATAACTACAACATGTAGGTGTTTATCGTAAAATTATCACTATACAACATGTAGGTGTTTATCGTAAAATTATCACTATACAAAATGTAGGTGTTTATCCTAAGTATGACGGTGACATTCCCTCAATTTGAGCTAGTAAATCTTTGATTAAATATCAGAATTTTGGGTGCATCTATATTGAATTAATATTAAGTATTTGGATATTGGAGAGAAAAAGGCTGGATGGAGAAAGGTAAAACTGTCCCCTAAAGGTTTGAGTGAATAATGAGACAACCACAAGAATAAGGCCTGTCTGTTGGGCAAATTATTAATCAGCTATTTTCTGATTTAACTATGAGGTAAAAATGAAGTAGAAATGCAAGGGAGACAAACCCATGTCAAATGGATCGGCAGCTCCGTTGGACTCAGGGGAGGACAGAACATTCTCTTTGTTGTCGTAAACATTGTCTGTATCCAACTTGTAGGCTCCATTCACATTTCCTGTAGGAATAAATAAAATAACGTATGACTCTCCACATGTCAACTGTAAGTTGGTATACTGATATACATATATAGTTCTATACTTGAAGATTCAAGTTTGATTCCCCGTCAATATGTGACTTTCTACTTTTCTTGTAAAATTGACATCAAGATTAAAAGTACACGTAACGTAGTGATGATATCTATTATAGCAATACGGAGGACGCTTATGGATGAAGATATTCCACCAAAGTTGTATTTTCTACATTACAGTAGTCTAATATTTTACCTTTATTGTCATAAATTTCTGCAACTTCTGCATCTGAGAAGTCGATCAGTGAGTGCTCCTTTGCCACGTCATACACAGGTGGGTCTTTTACTGAGGAATACATACCATCGCTCACCTGTCACAGGTAAGTTAATCAACAGGTAAACAATGCAAATCTAGACAATCATTTGCTACTAAGTATTAATGTCTGTTTCATATTTTGAAGAGCTGCATATTGTTTTTTCATAAAGAAACAAAAAAGAATCCACTGTGGAAAAGAACATTTGATACAGATACTTGTATAAAACTTTGATACAGATACTTGTATAAAACTTTGATACAGATACTTGTATAAAACTTTGATACATATACATGTATAAAACTTTGATACAGATACTTGTATAAGACTTTGGTATTTTGCTTCACAAAATATGCAAATATAAGAATCTAACATTGACATAATGCAATTGGGCCCAATTAATGTAGACAACACCTGTCCAGTAGTTCCACTATCCAAGAGATTCTTATGAAACAGCTCTATGTTTTTCTATGCAAAGTTCATACTGTAATCCATCAGTTTCATTATCAAATCATTTCTAGCTGTGACTGAAGGAGGTTAGATTAAAGAGCTCCACTGTATACAAAACAACTGTAAATAAATCAAGATTTACTATATATCAAATTTAAAAAGGCAGGAACAGGGTTTCAAAGCTGAGGATTGACGGTTGTGGCTATGATTGTGAGGGGAGGGGTTACTTACAGGTAAGTTGGATGTGGGGACAGCATATTCAGAAGCTTGTGTCAAGGGTGGGCGTGCTCCGGGGCGGTCATTATAATAGTCTCCCTCATGGTCTTCTCCCCAGGCATCCCCCTCACTAATGGGGTTCTCCATTCTAAAGGGCAGAAAGCCATTTTATCAAAGTCAGCTTCTTACTATTGGTCCGTCTCTCAGTCAATGTTTCACTCTAAGACATCCTTATTCTATCAGTGCACTAGAGTGTAGGAATTTTGGAAGGTGAAACAGCGTTGCATGTTTGCACTGGATTCCCTCAAAATTGTTTCTTTGTGAGGGATGGTATCAAAGCTAACTTACATCCGACATGTTCAGGTTTGGGTATAGGCGAGGCCTACAATTATTACTATACATTCCATCCTCCAGACAGTCATCGTGGCTTTCGCGGCTTTTTTTATCAAAGATATTGCTGTCATCAAACATCAGCTTGGAATGGATGCTTGCGTAATCATGAGCAGACATCTCAAGCTCAGATTCCTCCTCAATGCTAGCAAAAGGCATTCTTCATTAACATATATATAATATGTCTGTTAATACAATCAACTCTATCACCATAATAAATGCTAGTTGAGAATGTGTCCATAGTTTAGAAGGAAAGTAAATGGAAATTGTAGTAAAAAATCACTGAGTTTCATGTCTTGAAATGAGAACCCAACTTTTACAAAGAAGTGTATTCAATAGATCCAATATACCTGAACAGGTAAATTACTATTTATTCTGTTACCTGCCTGGTGCTGTGACTGGCTATTTATTCTGTTACCTGTCTGGCGCTGTGACTGGCTATTTATTCTGTTACCTGTCTGGTGCTGTGACTGGCTATTTATTCTGTTAACTGTCTAGTGCTGTGACTGGCTATTTATTCTGTTACCTGTCTGGTGCTGTGACTGGCTTGGGCTGGTTCTTTAGGTACTCCTTGAAGCGGAGCTCGAAAGCCTGACCTATGGTGGTGATGACATCCTCGGCCAGACCACCGCCACACTCTAGGACATGACATGCCCGCCCATGTACAGCGTCTTTGGCCACGTAGGCAACGAAGTCTAACGTCTCCTGTAACACAACACTTACATTACCAGACAGTCATTTAAGGATAGAATCCCATTTTGTTGAGGTTTATGGGGCATACACCTCAATGGGTCTTGAGACAAATTTTATGAACTGCGAAGCAGTTCATTTTGAATTTGTCTCAAGACCCATTGAGGTTTATACCCCATAAACCTCAACAAAATGGGATTCTATCCTTATATTTACATTCAGAGTGATATTGATACTTGTTCGGATAATTTCTAAAATATCGGTCTTGTGCAAGTCTAACACCACGGAAGGTATCAAAACTTATGACGTCATAACTCACTTTGAGACGTCGTCCTGGTAAGATGATTAAGCAAATTAAGATGTAACTTAATTTTTGAATTAAATTGAATACTTCTGACAAAAAATAAATTAAATTAAAACAACCTAAGAATGGAACTACTTCCCGCGCTCCGCGAAATAACAGAGTAACCAGGTTGATAATATGCTGATGTATTCATACGCCAACTGAAAAGTTCATTGAAAAATAACCTTTAAAATATTAAGTAGGTATATTGAGTCCAAGTTCAGTAGAAATGTAAATATTGTCATTTGCATGGTAGTACCAAAATTAATTGCTGGCATCTTCATTAAATAAATTAGCCTAAATACCAAAGTATTTCTACTAGTATACCTATACTAAGCTTCTGTTTAACAATTCTTTTGTAGTAAACAGATCGACATGTAAAGTTAAAGGTTCGAATCCTGCAGACAGTGTGTTGCTGTGACCTTGAACACTTTATCATTGTTGCTTAAACCACCGCTCTATAGTTTCTGTCCTGTAGTGTTCAAACACCCTATCTCATTTACCTCAATAGTTGTATAGCATTGTACTTTACAATTAATGCATATAAATGTAATAACACAAAGCATAAAATTAAACCCACTATTATTGTATATAAATGTAATAACACAAGGCATACCAACCCACTATTATTGTATATAAATGTAAAAACACAAGGCATACCAACCCACTATTATTGTATATAAATGTAATAACACAAGGCATACCAACCCACTTGTTTTACTTACAGAGTCTCCTCCTGAAGCAAAAGATATTCCAGGCATCTGGTGGTTGGCGATCATCTAAAGTCAGAATAAAATAGTTTATAACATTTTATGGAATATAGTCATGTTAAAACATGGACCACAATGTATAGTAGAGTGTCTCAGTTCTAGGATACCTGGGTATGTGTCTGCCAATGGTACAATGTAGAACCTTCTCGGTTGACCATGGATATAATTAGATATAATAAAGGTCCCATGTTCTGTAGGCAATATGTTTTATAACTAGTTGTCAGGATTAGAAATACTTTGAGGTAAACAAGGTATTCAACATCCGACATCAAGTTTAAATTGAAATACAGTGCAGTCACTTTCATTCCAATATAATACAATGCACTGACTGATTGTCAGATGGTCACAATACAGGAGCAACTATGAATAGAAAAGGAAGAATTCTCCCCTAAAACACAAGGAGGTCACAAGGAAAATCTGTCCTCTAAAACACTGAGAGGTCACAAGGAATCTGTCCTCTAAAACACTGAGAGCCTGTCACAAGGAAAACCTGTCCTCTAAAACACTGAGAGCCTGTCACAAGGAAAATCTGTCCTCTCAAACACTGAGAGGTCACAAGGAAAATCTGTCCTCTAAAACACTGGGAGCCTGTCACATGACATACCTCACCGGACTCCATGATCATCAGGGTGAGTGCCTCTGTTGTAATGGTCAAGTTGACATTTGATCCAGCATACTGCATCTCTGGCCTCTCACCCAACATCTTGGTCAATTTCTTATCCTACAAACCATTGAACAATCAGAATGTATTTACTGTTTAAGCTTTTTTTAGCTACCCTCGTTGTCCAATTAATGACCTCATTCTCAGTGGCAATTTAAATCATTCTATTTTGCCCTTTTTTGTATTTTTTCCTAATTTTATTATATTATTTTCCAAATATAAAAATAAGAAAAAGCCAAATTGACAGTGCCAAGTTTGCAGTTTTGATCAAAGTCAAATAAAGCATGATAAATCTTATAGAAACTTATACAGGTAAAACACATGTCATGATCATATATGTGCCATTTTAAAGTGAAATGAAAAAAAATCCTCAAAAGATGCTGCAATCACGCCTCATCATAAATTCCTAGTGATACATACGACTACAGTGAAACTATTAACCCAGCACCTGTATGATATATTTTATGGTTGTGATCAACTCACCTTTTTCTTCTTTGATAGGGGTTTCATCCCGGCAGATTCACAAACTCGACTAATAGCTTCTCTGTAAATGTAAACAATCATTTTCTGTGAACAAAATCCAAATATTTTCACAAATTAATTACCATATGATAATTTAAATGTGTGTATGATATTCTGTTCCAGTGATTTTGCCTGTTTAAACATAAATATGATCAGAATTGTTCACATGTGTTGGTAATGATACAGAGCTGTTTTATAGCGCTCCAGCATCGTCGGATACCCACGACTGATTTCGCTTCGGTACTCACTGATGAGCGAGTACCGACGCGGAGTCAGCCATGGGTATCTCAGGCCATGGCACTCCAACCACACTGTCAAGTATCATTCTGATGTCTGTAGCACATTTCTTTTTAACTATACACAATGTATTGTAGAACAATTGTATATCTCTTACTTAACTGTCAAGGTTATATGATGGTGGAATACATCACTCAAGATTCAATTATGAATAACTCAGCATTTGTCATAATATTCTCATGCTTGTAATTTATTTCACCTTAATACACTTCTGATAGTAAACTATTTTTCAACTCCCATATAATAAGATTTCCTTTTATATTCTGTGTTAGTGAAAATATGTGGCCATTATGTAAAAAAAGTAAAGTGATCATGATCTTTTTTTGTGTTTATAAACATACCTGGCAAGACTTGTACGTGTGTCAAAATCTAGACTTCTCATGGACTCCTTCACCTCCAAACACCCAATGTACTGAAATTATACACAATACATTATGTTACAATCAATCAGTGTTATCCATTGTCAAACAATAGTTTGTCATATGATCATATCGGTATATATATCTTACAATCAAATATCTAAAAATCAACGGTGTCTTACTTTTGGATATTAATTCTCCACTTTAAAACCAGTTTATAATGATCATCCCAAAATGGACCTGGGTAATTAGGGCCGAAAATGAGTAACAGTTGTACACAATATATACAGATATGTAAAACTGAAATACTAACAACGTCTTCATGTAAATCTCTTTACCCTTACTCCACAGCAGATACTGCTATTCACAGAAAGGTGTGTGTGGCCTGCAGGTTGATTTAAAATTGACTCTGAATCTGTAACAGAAGCCATTGTCGACAAGAAGCTGTGTTTGGCCTACGTGTAGATCTGAAACTTACCCTGACTCGGTAACAGATCCCACTATCCACAAGAAGCTGTGTTTGGCCTACGCGTAGATCTGAAACTTACCCTGACTCGGTAACAGATACCATTATCCACAAGAAGCTGTGTTTGGCCTACGCATAGATCTGAAACTTACCCTGACTGGGTAACAGATACCATTATCCACAAGAAGCTGTGTTTGGCCTACGCGTAGAACTGAAACTTACCCTGACTCGGTAACAGATACCATTATCGACATGAAGCTGTGTGTGGCCTATGTGTAGATCTCAGACTTACCCGGACTCTGTAACAGATACCATTATCCACAAGAAGATGTGTTTGGCCTACGCGTAGATCTGAAACTTAGCCTGACTCGTAGCAGATGCCATTATCCACCAGAAGCTGTGTGTGGCCTATGTGTAGATCTCAGACTTACCCGGACTCTGTAACAGATACCATTATCCACAAGAAGATGTGTTTGGCCTACGCGTAGATCTGAAACTTACCCGGACTCGGTAACAGATACCACTATCCACAAGAAGCTGTGTGTGGCCTATGCGTAGATCTGAGACTTACCCGGACTCCGTAGCAGATGCCACTGTCGATATGAAGCTGTGTGTCAGGGTGGATCCAACCTCGGTCGGGTTTGTTCATAAAGCTGCCAGTCTTGGACCATTCCGACCCCGTTCGCTGCTTCTTCTTGTTCTTGTCTTGTTTACTCGCCATACTAGAAGTCAAAAAAATTGCAATATAAATTGCAAGAAATGTATTCAATATAGCATGGGATCCAGCCATATCCTGTTTATAAGATTATACAGGGTTTAAACATGATACTGTTTATTTACACTGTATGGCAGTACTTACTTCCCAGGTAAACCAGTGCTTACTCCCCAGGTAAACCAGTACTTACTTCCCAGGTAAACCAGTTCTTACTTGTAACAGATACCATTATCCACAAGAAGATGTGTTTGGCCTACGCGTAGATCTGAAACTTCCCCGGACTCGGTAACAGATACCACTATCCACAAGAGGCTGTGTTTGGCCTACGCGTAGATCTGAAACTTAGCCTGACTCGTAGCAGATGCCATTATCCACCAGAAGCTGTGTGTGGCCTATGTGTAGATCTGAGACTTACCCGGACTCGGTAACAGATACCATTATCCACAAGAAGCTGTGTGTGGCCTATGTGTAGATCTGAGACTTACCCGGACTCCGTAGCAGATGCCACTGTCGACATGAAGCTGTGTGTCAGGGTGGATCCAACCTCGGTCGGGTTTGTTCATAAAGCTGCCAGTCTTGGACCATTCCGACCCCGTTCGCTGCTTCTTCTTGTTCTTGTCTTGTTTACTCGCCATACTAGAAGTCAAATAAATTGCAATATAAATTGCAAGAAATGTATTCAATATAGCATGGGATCCAGCCATATCCTGTTTATAAGATTATACAGGGTTTAAACATGATACTGTTTATTTACACTGTATGGCAGTACTTACTTCCCAGGTAAACCAGTACTTACTTCCCAGGTAAACCAGTGCTTACTTCCCCGGTAAACCAGTACTTACTTCCCCGGTAAACCAGTACTTACTTCCCAGGTAAACCAGTACTTACTTCCCAGGTAAACCTTAATTAAGTATTTTAATTACAACAAAGTTTGAGTCTTTTTTTCAATTTTAAGATTTGAATTTCACAATTTACCCAAAATAATAAAAGTATGGTAATAAAAGAAAATAATAATTGTCTTGCATTGTTAATAAAAGATTGTTCCTTTTATAGACTTTTCTCCTGTACACACTCGTTTATAGGTCTCTATAGCTAACTTAATATGGTGTCTCAACTCCTCCCCACCTTGTGATATACGCGTACTTGTGAAAAAACTGATTTTTTTATCATATGATATATAAACTTGTGTATAGTATAATGACTATGCAAGCTACAAAAAGGATGGATATTTTATTTTAAACATAAGACATGTAATACCTGATGTTAATATGTAGTATATATACATGTACCATATTGGATGACCCATTGGAAGTAAGCCATTTCAAGATTTCATGGGATATACTAGGTTTAAAGAGGCCTAAATATTGCAATTTATTTTAAAAGACTATCAACATTAGTGACGATAGTGTATATAAACTACATTGCTATGATTATTACTTCCTGCGTATCTATGAAGCGATTGAGTTTTATAACATGCCTTAAGCTTTTTACCTGAATAACATAAATAATTGAAACTACAACATCTTTACTGTAATGTAAATGCACAGCATTCATGACATTGTAACCATATATAGGCTAAATTATTATCAATTCAGGTACACAACAGTGAATAATGGTTCAGGTATGGGGTACCACAGCATCAGTAAAATTGCCAAGAAGAGTTCCACTTGGATATGTTATTTACTCTGAGTAAAACAAAGATGAAACAACCCTATAGGATTTTTTTTTGTCTCAGAGTAACTTCCCCTGTCAATTTATTTGATGGGCTATGTGGCCATCAATGAGACACTTTTTTTTACCCATACCTAAATGGCAAATTCGATAAACAGTAGGCTTTCTACTTTGTTAAGGTCTTGAATTTGATTCCTGCTGTTTTTGTGTTTATGCTTTTATTTTTATTTTCAAACATTCAAATTTTGAATAATGTAAATCTGTAAAATGTATGGAAACCTGTGACTTTTATGGAACACGTGGAACAATGAATAACTGGTTACCACACAATATATATCCTAGGTCATATGTAAGGAAACAGCTAATTAAACAATTATATACCCATACATACACACTGTACTTAAAGTTTTAGGTTATGAATATTAAACAAAAATTATTTCAAAACATAGATTATTTGGAACAAACTTGATAAACCTGAGTGTGTACAATCTGTGTTGGTAAATATATGGTTGGACATTTTACTTTATTGTTGTTATTTTGTATGTTTAAGGTTTTAAGTCATCGTAAAAGTCATATGGTGATGTGTACATTGACCAGATGGTGTACATTGACCAGAGATGATGAGGCCACTCATCAACAGCCACTTTAAAGTATGACCTCACTGATTTGTCACAGCCCGAACATGGAAAGAATTAGGGCTTGTCGTAAGGATGACAACCTCCAGGGAGACACCACAAAAAATCAAGAAAAAAGGAAGGGAGAGACAAAAAGCGCCAGAGATGACAAGTGTGGTAATGGAGGCTGAAGATCAATTTCATTGGTGTCCCTAAAATTTGTTTGCACAGAAAAAAATGTGTGATTCTGTACAGGCCCCTTATTAGTAATTACCTCATAGGCTAATACAATAGGATACAGCAGGTTGAATCTTAATATTATCAAGATGTCCCTAAACATAAAGGCAATTATTTGTTGTATGACAAAATTGGGTCAGACGTGGTCACATGTCACCATTATAGAACTGACTGATCATGATTTACAGTCAACAGATCAATCCTCCAAATCTCTTATTCTACACACAAGTCAAAGGATCGAGTACCAACCCAAATACCAGATCATGATATCCTCACCACTAATTAACCAAAACAATTAAACATGTCCTTATACCATTAATATGTGTACTTACATATCAAGAAATTTCAATCCCATTTCACTTGATTTAGTAATTTAAGACCTCGATAAAACAAAACAGTTCAAACTTATAATGTAAAAGTAACTCTATACCTATAGTGTTTACAAATGTTATATACATCCATATGATGGTTTAAATTGTGACATTTTGAATAACTAACCATGAATCATACACTAAAAATAAGGCTAAAAGTTTCCAGTGATTTAACAGATTGTAATTGTATACTATAGGTAACCTTTACCATATTTGGTATCGTGTACACCTATAAATAGCCAATAGTATATACAATCAGTTTCCCAATACATTTAACACTACAACATGCTTTCTTGTTGAGTAAAAAGTACAGATATATATATATGTATACAGTATAAAAAACCATCTAGATTTGTCTGGTTCATAAAACATTTAACTGCCACACTTGCTGGGGGCGTTAATTATACACACAATGAATAGAGTGTTGAGGACACTGATAAACCCCACTGATAAAAGGTCTACACTGTTCTGTGTATTTAGGATTGTGTAATTCTCCATAATAGGTTCATGCTTCAATGACTTAAGTTGTATATGAATCATGTATTACTGCAGTGTGACCTGATATGAGGTACGAGGGCCATGTGATGGCCAGGTCTAACAGGATATGCTGAATCATATCCTATATACTGGGGCATATCTTTACTGTACAGGTACATATAGGACAGCTGGCCGCTTTGTCAAACATGTTTATATACACACACATGTACATAACTCCACAGAATAGACATACCACTTCAGTATTTCGGGAAAGCAATTTTATTTTTCAAGAAACCTATGAAAAGCACCATATTCCATGTAGTGATGATCAACAACCACCCACTGAAAGTATCACTAGAGGCAACTAATGTGAGAACCCCCACCCCCTGCAGAGTTGACGTTGGGATTTGCTTTTGTGCCCTCTACTTGGGGACACAAAATTATAGCGACCAAAATAAATCTGCTGCACCCATTGCAATATTTAGGATCTTTATCTTTCTTTCTACTTCTAACTACCTTTTATTTCCTAGCGCCTTGCTTGGCAACACCTCACTTTTGGCTTTAATGCATGTTGAGTGTTCACCTGGGTGAGGAAGGCAATGGGTTCTGTTCCTAGGCCGGGACATACTAAATCCGTAGAAATGGTAGGTGTTATTCCCTGCTTAACATTCAGCATTAAAGGGAAAGGTAATAACTAGTTTGTTAGTATAATGTGACAGAGCGGAATGCCAGTGCTGGGTGCCTTCAACATGGTATTTCAGTGGGATAGCACTATAAGTCAGCATCAGATCCATGTTATTACAAGGTGGCAAATACACCAACACACCCTGCCTCCAGCACACATACACATCATATACGTATACACAACAAACATGGAGGCATGTCCTCAAATGACCTTAGCTGTTGATAGGTTATTAAACAAAATACAAACCCAAAACCAAACCATGTAATCACACGAAGTATCCTTTAACTAGAACTGTCATCCGGAAGATAACTAATACCCCTGCGGATGCTGGTAGTTTACACATCATTTAGTTACTTTGACCTGGGGATTCTGGACAAGTTATTTTGCATAATGAACTGAAACTCACTTAGAAAGTGATTGAATCTAAAATTAAAATGCAGGTGCACAATTACATAATAAACCCATCATTCAAGTGAAGTTTCATCAAGTATTTTGCACAAAGGGGCATAACTCCATCAAAAAGGGTCGAAATCCCAAATTAAAATGCCGGTGCACAACTACATAAGATACTGATCATTCATGCAAAGTTTCAATGAAATCCACCTGTTAGTTAAGGAGAAGTTTACCGGACAAGTTACTGCGGACAGACAGACAGACAAGACAGACAGGGTGATTCCAGTATACCCCCCCCCCACACCTTAACTTTGTAGCGGGGGTATAAAAATCCAACATACAGGTAGAGATAATGCAACTCTGAAGGTAGTCACTTTCAGATCTAGCAAAGCTGACAGTATATCATTCATTTTACATATAAACTGTATGTAAAGGCAGATATCACTGATGAAGAATCAAATCTTGCAACACTAGACAACAAACCATGTGCATGTGTGAAAATCCCCCCTTCCCAAAACGTTTCCACCAGACAAATGTAATACTTAACTAAAAACCTCACCCATTTTGCAAATGTAAACAAGGAAAAACAAAGATGTACTGGTTCCATATACATGTAACAGAGCGCATGATTAATTAAATTTAAATCACTGCCTCCGCTAGGGATCGAACCCGGGACCTCTGGCTTACTAGTCTAACGCTCAACCGATCGAGCTAAAGAGAAGTTCTCTATAGCCGAGCGATATATTGCGGCTAGTATTTACCAGGGTTACATACATAGTAGACCATCACATGGTTAACGAATACAATTTCAATCCAAAGATATTACAATTTTAACAAAATTATTGTGCTGACCGTTTACCCAGTGTACGTCATACACGTGTTCCTTATGATATTTTTTCTGTCCTTATTTTCACATCAGATGATTCCTGTTTTGGATAAAATAGTATTTTCACTGTCAACTGCTTCATAGAAACAAAGTACTGACAAACAATTAATTAATTATATATTGTCACTGATGCTTCAAGTGATCTCTCAGGACAAAGACACAAAAATCTACAAAATGTAGATCTATACAGGACTGATTTCTAGTACAATTTTCTGAAAAAAGAAAATATTTCAAGGAAAATTTTAAGTAAACTATGAAACGAATGCACTTGAAAATAAAAAATAATAATATTTCATAAGTTTTTTTCTGAATTTTTGACATTTTTCTAAGAGCCCATGATTGATTATGTAAATAACTAATGCAAGAGTAAAGTGTGTCAACACCTTAATAATCATAGAAACATATGTGATATATGTGTGTGTTATACGACCTGTCTTCATATGTCCCTTTATTAGCTTTGTTGAAGACACAAGTCTCTTGACAAAAGTTTTAAAACATGCGAAGAAGTCTATTCTTTTTTATCTGCTTAATGACGGAGTGATTTTTTTTCTCTAGTTTTACAACCTAATACAGGTTGTTTTCCACAAGAGTAAGGAATACCTTCCCAATTTCAATAAAAGCCAGGTAATATTTTTCAAGGTTATGTAGGAACGGGCTGTTGTTAGGTAGAACACAGACACATCTGATCGTGAGGTAATAACAGAAATATCGTGTACTGTTCATGACTTCCTGGTCTATAGATACGATATCAATAGACATAAAAATAGGTTAAATAAATACAAATACAAACAGAACATGTAAAGCAAGCATAAACAGGTACCAATCACTACTGATATAATCTAGCTATAGAGGCCCAATGTATCACTCCTTATAGATAACTAATGACTGATGGTGTCGGTAAAGTGTATGTAATGATGAAATGTTACTCTCAGTCAACCATAACATTTTATTATGTATTTTTTGAAAAGAAGTTGTCTGAAGTTTTCAATTTCAACAAAATTGATGCCAGTGACCTTGAATGGGGGTGGAGCATGATAATGTATTTGGAAGTCTTTTTTACTTCAGTAAGCTCAGTTCAAATATCATTGGTATTCTATGCTACCTGGGTCATAAGGAGTATTTTGATTATTTCTTTTACACATCTGAAATCTGAATGTCACTTTTACACTTTGGGTCAACCAATATATATAGCTTATTTGAAAAAACTTGATAAATCAAAACTTCAGACCTCATTGTTCAGAAGAAGATGTTTAAGCATACTGGGTATTGAACTTAATTGATCCATATGGCTCATTTATTTGAACAAATATGACAGCCCTTCATACTGGCAAGCTACAGGACAAATACCAATACTCAAGGCCTTATGGTTCATGAGAAGAAGTTTTTTTCTAAGTTTTTAATTTATTTGATGCATGTGATCTGGAATGTAAGTCAATATAAACATTTCTTGGAGAGAATATTGGAAACTTGTACAAGCTAGACCAAATATTATGATCTTTGTTTTAGAAAAGTTGATGACGGACGTCATTCTATGACAAAAACTCAAAAGACTTCCCCAGGTGAGAGGCAGGAGCCCACAGATAATTTAGCTGCATTTGAAGAGAACCTACCTCCCTCCTTACAAAAATAAATATGATTTAACAGATCTAGATTTGTGAAATAATCTTGCAGAAATGATGTTCATCAGCTTGAATAGACTTTAATTTACCTTGCTTGATGTGATAAGGTCAAACAAATGTTTGTTCACTGTTACATAAATGTCAGAAACATTAGGATAGGTAGGTACCAGTAAGTATTTTTTTTTTTATAAGGTTTATACAGGAGAGTTGTCTGGCCTTTAACAGTACTTCCTTGGGAATTGCCAAAACCCGTTTAGAGTAGATAGGGTAACCAATAAACCAGAAACAAACAATATTTTTTATTTGGCGGAATGAGAGAAGAGAGTGAGAGCGAGAAGTACACGGTGTACAGTGTACTTCTCGTTTCATCGTTTTTAATTAATGGCATTCTGACAGCCTTTAAAAGCATATGAATCTAAAAGAATACCATCAACTTTCGAAGATTTCATTTACACTATACAGAAGGACCCCATCTATTGAATATGCAAGGAGTGTAGGAGAATGTTGTTGTTGGCAATTAATTTCTTTTTATGTTATTTCACCGCTGGAAGATCTAAGCAATCATGGCAAGATATTGCAACTGAAATAATATTGCAATTAATTGTAACTGAAGTAGCCTTGTATCCCATGTGAACTTGGTTTAATGCCCCAAACACGTACATCATATTATGTGCCAAACATCATCATAACGGGATATTTGTAGACTTTAGCGAAAATCGAAAATTCTTTTGGACTGTGGAAAAAAACCTATTACATGTAACTGCATGAGTGAGATCTGGTTATTACAGTCTCAAGCTAAGATACTGTAACACCCCATCATCGACTTATGTCTTCACCGTGTAGTTGCTTTAATAAATTAGGATATGAGTATCTATTGACAGACTGATGCCAACAAAATAATTAATTTTGTAGCGGAACTGGACTGGGTCGATCGTCCACGATCAGATAGCTATAGCTCAATTGGTAGAGCATTCGTCTAGAGTTCGGAAGGTCCCGGGTCCGAACCCCGATCTGATCATGCATTT